GTTCTTTGATACTGACTTAGCTGTTCTGGCTCTCGAGCTAGTAATTTTCCTGCCAAAACTTCCACCCGTTTACATATGAGAACTAGGCGTGCTTGTGAACTGAATTTAAAATCTTTTGAGAAGACTGTCCCAAAATTCCAGTTTCCTAGCCTATTTTGGTTTTGGAGCTAGCAGCTTTCCCGTTGAAAACTTCATGTGTCCGTACGTTAGGATCGGAGTGTATGAAAGTTGGCTTCCCGCTTCTAGGACCCCAACTTGGTGACTGGGCGGTTCTGGATTGTTGATATTAATGAGGAATTAAGCCATGGATGTTTGTAAGTTGAAACGATAGAAAAATTTATATGCTGGTAATTTCAGATTGAGAAAAGACATGTGCAGTATCGCTGGAACTGTGGCACCGGTGTGGGAATTGTCAGAGTAAGCCATCAGACTGTCAATGACGGCAAATGGCATTCGCTGAAAATTTCAAGAAGAAGCAGACATGTAAAACTAGTGCTTGATGAGATGTACGAAGCTGAGGGCGACAGTCCTGCGGGCAGTGATGTTATTAACCTTTATCGAGACTCCATGAGGTATCCTCAGACATACAAGGATTTTGTTTACTGGTTGAAATCTGCACATGTATAAATTTTCAATGGCGTTGCAGGCTTACTTTTGGTGCAGTGGTATCACAGGCAGTGGGAGACGACAATTTTGTATCAGCAAATGATCTTAAACCAAACGTAACCAAAGGGATGATCGGCTGCTTTGGGTAAACTTCTCTTACCGAGTAAACCGTATGAGAAAGTCTGATATTTTTTCATTTTAATACTTCGATTAGTCATCGTTTCACCGTTGCTTACCTTCGTCGAAGCTGTATGATGTGATGACTGAGTTGCTACTTTAGTGGAAAGGCCGCGAAAAGTCGGACAAGAAGAAGTCCCTTAAAAGAAAAATAATTGGCCAATGCACTGATTGCTGATGCGAAGATGCGTTTTTTGCATAGTTCCCCGCAGTTTTTGTCGCTATGGCACCGGTTTTTCCAGT